TGTTTCAAATAATTAAGTGAAAACTATTGAGACGGCAACTTTTCCTGAGCGAGTTGTCGTTTTACATCTAAATTTGGTAAGCTTTTGATTAGATGCAAAATGTCCAAGAAAAGTTTTGTAGCCATGTGAACAAAATGAGGCTCGTACAGGAGGCTCCTATAACTGCTATAACATTTCTTCACCACAATAACATTATATATATATATATATATATATGTATAATATATATGTATATATATATACATATATATATATGCATACATATTGTACATGAGTAGCTCTACAAAGTGATAAGCAAACGGCTAGGAAAAGCAAGCGCTACTAGCCAGGAAAAACTTTTGTAACCATGGAAACAAAGTGAGGTTCTTACAGGAGGCTTCTGTAACTGCTGTAACATTCGTACATGAGAGCTCTACGAAGTGATAAGCAAAAGACTGCGTGTGGTTTTGGTAATAAAGTTTTTATAGCACTCAGACAAAGGTGTAAAATTCCTAAATGCCACGCCTTTTTGAAGTGTTTTATTTCTATCTACACACAAGTGGTTACTGGACTTTTATAATTACTCGATACGCTATGAAATGTCAGAATCCCAGCTAGCCCAATATAACAATCCCCTTAATAATTTGTCACTTGATTATCTGCAGCAAACCCGGTCACGAAAAATAACGAAGTAAATTGTGTGGAAGCTCTGCATGAGTCAGACTATCAATTTATCACAAGCACACTAGAAGAAGACTTTGGGCACCAAAATTGCCCATCGGAAAAGATGTGGTGTTTATGTGAGAGACTTCTTCGTCTACATGTTGATAGTTATGCGTCAAGCTTTAAAGTAGGAACATCGCTAGTGTTAAAAAATGTGGACGGAACCAGTTTTTCTCTGTTCTCTTTTCAACATACCAATTTGGATTTCTTGCTTCCTCGCTGAATTCTCAAGCAAAGTCGACTACCACACTATCTTTCCAATGTAGGTAATTAGATTACCCGGAGGTGTTAACACCTTGAATGTTAACGCTCTGGGAAGGGTGTGTGTTATATACTACACACGCGTGTTTTTTTGGTTTTTGCTCTGGACATGGTCTTTCCCAAACGCTTTTAGCAATTATTCGGAAACATGAGTCTCGACGATTTCATTAATGAGCTCGGTTTCCAAAGATACCTTCATATTGCTCTGTAGCAGTAAAATTGAATTACGTATAACACACAGTTTACCTTGCCCGCTCGGCTGGTGTAAATGGATGGCTTTTCTCTAGATTTCAAAAGTCGTTCGACAACACAATTGTTGACAACCATAAGCGGTGATTGGTTTTGAAAAGTTTCTATAATAGGCTGTAAGAGCGAAAAGATGATTACCTTTCACATTCGAAGTAGTTAGCTCGTCACTTGAACGTCAAAGCGACTTAACTTGATAGCGGCAGTATAGGCCGAAAAGGAAAATGAAAGCTATAAAATAACTGGACGAAGTCTTTCCTGCAGATTCAATTCGAGAGACCTAGAAGATTTTTCGAGACAAAAAAAAATTTGATAATAACTAACGGAAATCGCGCTCTCGCGAATAGTTCCGCACGCAGATATCTCAACTGCCGCCCCTAGTGTGCGAAACGTAATTTTGTCTTTATTTATGAAGACCTTTCTTAAAACTAAACGTCAGTCTTAGAATACCCATTTTTAAGCTTTCGAATAAGTTTCAAAACTTCATAGTGATTTGATAATCGACTTTCGTTCAACTACACACTCTCTCATCAGTCACGTGTTCCTTTAATATTAATGAGTCGGTCTCACAAAGCTATTACAAAAAAATTTATTCGACTGACGTTCCATTCGTTTAGTCTTCTTTTGAGCTGTTTCATCCGCCCCGATACTGCTCAATCGTTCGTCGTCGTAGCGGTTTTCGCGTTCGTTCTTGTTCGCGTCGGATATTCTTCGGATGAGCATGTTCAAATGGGAACCTCACCCGGCGGTGCTCCTATTATACAAGGCTAATGTTGATGAGAGTGTTTGTTCAAAGATAAGATTTGTTTTCAGTTGGAAGATTCATCCTGCAGAAGTCGATGTGAGCAGTGCGGAGTGCGATTATCTTTAGGCGGTGCTACTCCCAAGGTCGACTTGAGCGAGATCGGATGAGAAGACTAGAACGAGAACGAACGATTGTAGAGCATTGACTGGGATTATTCAGTTTTGCAGAGGACGAAATAAAACGAAATGTCAGCCGAATAGATCTGTCTTTTCACCATGTCATGAAACTACTCAATCCACAAGGATCACTAAAACTTTATTGCGAAGCTATACACAAATCCTAGCCAAGCAAAAAATGCGCGCTAAAAATGAAATTTTATATTCGCTTCTACACCACAAAAAGAACGCGTATTCAAAATTCGAATACAGTGTAAAAATCGTCGAGATCTGAAGTTTCGAGCCTTTTTGAAAGTGCATGAGAAAAGCGAAAAAGATCCCGTCCCGAATGAATTAATTGCGCATTAGGAACAAATTGCCCAGGGTTTTTTTCTAGATTGAATATAAGCACATCCTTTCCTCATTCCCTGTTGATATTGCTTTGTATTCATCCCAGCATGCTAATGTTCTGCACATGCGATGTCATTCACGATGTGTGGAACATTAGAGCTCTCCAGAGTGATAAATTATTAAGCTGGATAAGTCGTACATCTTACAAGTACATTAGATGTAGGAGTGTGAGACTTTTTTTGACATTATTTTAGTATATGCAAAGAGCTTAGTGGAAAGGATCAAGCAGGAGAGCAAAGTGCTATGGAAGTGTGGTGGCGGAATGTAATGATTGTTTGGAGACAAACGGCAGTGTTAAGGGATATGAGTAATACCCAGCCGTTGTGCAGGTGTGCCTATGAGTGGCTTGCAAGCCCAATGTAGGCCAGCTGAGAGGCAAAAACATGGGGCATCTACCATGAGTCATTGACTGAGTAAGGAGTTAATAACAAAAAGTTCATGACAGAAGGTGAAGCAGCGAAACTGTTACACGATTTGAAGTTAGGTTTGATGAAGGCAGCAGCATGATATTTATGAAATGTATACAACGATATGCAGGTAGAAACTATTTGAGGAAGCAGCTGCGATATATGTGATAAAACCCTCGCCTTCCTTTGGTTTTCCATGAGTTTATTTATTTTCATTCTCACGGGCGACATGTGAAAGTCGGCCCAGTGGTTTATGACGGATGGCGATGTTTCATATGTTTGGGTCTAATCCGATAGACATCGGATGTCGTAAAATCTTCATTGACAAGACAGCACACCAGACTTTTGAGGGTAGAGCCATTAGTACGACATATAAACTTTTAATCGTGATAAGGCGATAGGTGGATGTGGTAGTCGAGGAGATCGAAGTGGATGTCCTCTCGTTCTGAAAGCAGTAACTGTTTTGGAGAAGGACCGTAGCGATATGATCGTTGCCATGTAATTGGAGAAATGTTGATGTGCTTTTCCTAAGGAGTTTTTATCAAATTTTCAGTCAAAATTACTGCTGCCAAAATTCTCGATGTTTCTGACTTTTTTGCAGAACTGTTCGGATTCGAAGCGAATAGCAAGGACCAAGGAGCACTGATGTAATAATACCCAAGAAAACTCACATTGGTGGCTTGCAGTCTATTTTACTTACACTATATATCATTGGCTATCATTTCAATTATTTGATAATTATTTTTTCAGCCAAGATGTGAATGATGTAGCCATTTATGGGCAACTTATAGAGACCAATACACGTGTGATGGCCTTGACAGCGTCGTCAGTTGGGCAGTACCCTTAGTCTTTAGCCAATCCTCTCGGGGTTCCCATCCACCTACATAGAGTAAGCGACGACGTAGAATTTACACGTGCCGTCAAGTGAAATGAATCAGTAGATCGGCAGTGTCGTGCACTTGATTGCTCTTGGCTAATACTCTTAAAACATATAACCTTCCGTTTTGAAAGAAAAAACTATCAAATATAATGAAATTTGAGCATGGTCTTAAGAAAACGCTTGGAACAAACGGTAAGATAGTTCAATTATTTATAGGTACAGAAGTTTCTTGGCCATTCAAAATCGGACTTTTTTCAGCAAGTGAACGTATGGATAAAGTGGTCATATTCCTTCATCCACTTTTTCGTAGAATTATCCTAGAGAAAGAGACCGCTAATGTGACAAACTTTGACACCCAACAGTTTTTGGTGGTCCCTCTCAAATTTAGTGGCTTCCTTTCTTTTCTTTCAGAAAAAAAAAATGAACGAAAGAGACAATGGTCAATCTTCTACAGAACGAGCAAGCAGCAACAAAATTGGCAAGAGTTCAGTTCACTGTATCGAAATTTATATCGCATTATAATTGTTAGTGGGAGATTGCCCCGCGGGTTACCAATAAATGTTTTGCTCGTCATGATGACTTTGGACATCCGTCTTTTTTGTTCATATCAGTTCAAATCGCTTATGTCGCTGTGAAGTTTTTCGGACTTTTTACCGAGCTCTGTACTAGCGCCAAATATCATTTATGGAAACTTAAGCCTATGACTTAATTCAGAAATTCATCGAGTTCATATGCTTCAAATTTGCCTTCATCATAATCGGTATATGGCGGACAAGCAGGTGTTCGTATAGCTTATCTCTAAAATGCATGTCTGATTTTTCACTGCTATATGTGCTAAAATACTTATGAGCACAGCTAAGATCATGCTGAAAAGTGTACTAATGTTGCCGTCTTTCATACAGTTTAGTATTACTCATATGCAGCGATTGATGGTTTTCGTTACTCACGACATTCAACACAACCCACCTTATCCAATCACAGTGTGACTTTTCGTTCACTCAAGCGCGTTTTCAAAAAACGATCTATAGTGCACAGAAATCGCTACTTATTCAGCAACCAGTAAAGAGTAAAGGCACGTTGATCAGGTTTTCTAAAGCCTGTAGCGCTCATGATTTCTAATATTTTTACTGCATTATCGCAGTGGTACGATGTTTGCAATGCACCCAAGAGAGCTGAGCGGTGAGCAAAAAATCGACCTCAGGCAGGAGTTGAACCCGCGTTTCACCCATGTGGAGGGCGCGTGCCACAACTACACCACCGAGGCCTTGTTACACCACCACTGATTCTGCGAGAATGCGGTAAAAGCATTAGAAAACAAAAGTATTACATATCACAATGGCTGTCAGCTTAACTAGGTCTATAAAAAAGCTTAAATAGGATATTGTTTACAGGACTAAACCTGTTGTAGATTGGTGGCTGATAGCTATATGAGAGACAGTGAAGAAAGAATGGTGGCGAAACGGTGCCCCAGTACTGTAGTGGTAACATGTTCCCCAGTATGAGTGAAACGCGGGTTCAATTCCTGCCTGGAGTCGGATTTCTGTTCACCACTCACTTCTACCAAATCGTCTTCTAATGTTCGTGGCTTTCTGCTTTGTTCGAAAAAAGAATTTAGGATAAAAAAAGCAGAATTTGAAATGTAAATTCATAGGTAAGTAATGGGTGCATGCATCGAAATCTGCCCGTTTGATAATAGATCTATGAACACTATAATGTCCATATGAGGCGATTGAGTCGAAGATGTGTCTCTTCTTTGCGGCCAATACGATAATGTGGTGCTTTATCACATCAATATCGACTCCGCGATAAAAAATTAAATGCTGGCGCAGATGTGTTGCAAGCAGTAGAACGTCACTATGGTCCTTACATGCAGATGGCTTAGAAAAGCGCTGGAATTGTCTAGCTTCTTCACATTCTTCTTATTCACGCTGTTGTTTCAGGTGCTTACTTGGCGTCAGGTAATGACGACCATTATCTTTCCTATTTCTAGCCATTAACATTCACAGGAAGCAATCCGAATTATGACCCGATCATTTATTCGAGGCGAATTACTCATAGCGAAAAGGTTCAATATGGCCGTGTCATCGTGTTCAAATTACTCACAGGCTAATTTTCACAGTCATACGGAATTTTAGCAATTCATAGGTGAATCAAACATCTCAATTACATCTTATTAGTATTGTACATGAGATAAGCTTCGTGTTAAACGCTGCATACGTTCAATGATTGCTAACCGACTTCCACAGCGTTTGTAGAAGATAATGTCTATTTCTGATCCACAAAAAGGCAGCCTTAATGCTTAATGAGATAACAATCGATGCTTGCTAATCCATCGTACATCCCTACTTATCATTTCACCTAATTGTCTTATTTTTATAGTAGAACTGAATTTTGATTCCATCATTTGAATGACGTTTGAGGGTGGCTATTGTATACAATGTCCAGCATTCGCTGATTTCGCTTGACTTTCATATTATAAGATGTTGCATTTGCTCGAGTTTAAAGCTGTCATTGTGAACAGAGCAAAAAGTTCAACCTAGCGGCATCTGTAAAATTGTTGCCATACTTGTATTGTTTACCCACGATGTCACTCCCGTTAACATAGATAGTTGTATCATAGATATCATATGTAACAATCTTTTAGATAAAAAAAGGCTTATGTATCTGGATTAAACTTTATCTAAGACATTGGAGATTCCTGACATTGGGCTTTCCTTTAGATGAGCTCTGTATGAAAATGTCAAGATTCTCCTTTGACTGTCGAAAGATGAATCATCTGTACTGCCTCACCTGGAAACACCTTTTTCCATCCACCTGTGACGGTGAACTTCGCCAGTATATTGACTTTCGATGTCGAAAACGCTAGATTGACTTGATTTGCGACATCAGTCTCTCGTATTGAAATCCAGTGACCGTAAAGTGAAACTAACCAATGCAGATGATCCAACATCTTATTCGTTGCTTTCGTAGTTGGTTTATGGTTTAGAAATACGGTACACTGCGAAACTTTCTGTTGAATTATGAAGGTAAAAGTAGAAAACGAAAAAATCAGAGAGTTCGAAAATCATTATATCCTAAATTATTTCCAACCTAATTTTTCTGTGATATAAAAATGTCAGGATCAACAAACTCTAAGCGAAAGATGTATGTCCACCTATTCACTAGTAATTTTTATTGGAGTTATCGACTTGTTCTTATTCAGGGGGAGGGGAGTGGATGAACTGATGTATTCTAGATTATTTTTTTTTCTCTAGCAATTTCGACTACTGTAGAGGGATTCTGTTCTTCAAAACAATAATCCCTGAAGTAATCATCATATTGCAATCATGAATTATACACACTTCGTCTATAGGAATAAGTAGATTCTGAAAAAGCTGCCTTGCTGTCCTAGAAAAAAAACTTTGCGGAAAAATGAAGCAGATCTATTTTTAACTTTTCTCTTGCGATATACTAATAGTAATCTGCAAGGCTAACAACGCATCATTTAGAGATGAAATAATTGTCACTTTGTGGCGATGTAGTGATACGCTATATGCTCGAACAGGAGTGGATAAGACTAGCTTGACAAAGCGATTCTCCCCAAATGTAGCGCAATCGAATCATCCATTTTGTGTGAATTGCAATCGATTCTGCAATAAAAAAAACTTACACTCTGCTGCGATCGCAGTGAATATTTCTTGACGAAATACAGTTCTCTCCCCATCTGACGTAGCTTGGCGTTTTGCTGTCCTCATGGTCCCATCTGGAATAGGTGGGTGAATTTTCAACGATACCTCATTTCAGGAGGATCTGTGTTTGTGTCGATTTCTGGAAGCAGCAGACTGAGTGGAGTCGTTGGGCAGCACGTTGAGGGCGGGCCGCATCCCTCCCGCGGGCAGTCATTCTATTCCGCCACGAGCGACGTACTGATTGCCCTCATCCGTTATTTCACAGCATTAAAAGCATTGTCACAGGACCCTCTCGGCCATGGTAGCTTTGCGGTAGGTCTCTTCTACGCCTAAAACTTTTAATTCTTCCGCTAATTTTTCGTAACCTTCATAGTTTAAAAAGGAGCATTGGAACACAATCAAAATATCTCGTTTCACTCTCTAAATCCGATGAATTAGTTATTGAAATTTTCTTCCGAGGTTGAGTGACAATTTTATGAGGTGATCGTATGAGAAGAACTAATTATTCGTCACCTGGAACAACATTTCGTTCCACGAATATAGAGCGAAATGAGCATGACCCTGACCACGATTTGCACACCTGCCAGCCATATCAACGCCAATTTAGAAGTCGGTCGACAAATCGGAAAGTAAACGAGTTAGTATTGTTCCGTCAAAGTATTATTAAAGCATTTACTCCTTTGTAACGTAAAAGTGGAGTGACTTTATCGATCAAAAGTCTCGTTAAATTTCAAGAACTACAGTTCTTTTTTTTACTGCGGCTTGTAGTATATTCATATTTCCTTTCAGCTGAAATTACTGAATCTGTCAAAAGTGCAGTTATCTGACGCATAACATTGGAAGCTTTAGTATTTGTCAGTAAAAAGCCTTTAACATGTTCTTTGCCGAAAAACAGGAGCATTTTTGGGTCACTTCATTTTTACACTGAGAAACTAAACCCATTGACAATTTCATAAGGAAAAATCTCCTAGAAGTAAGATCTTTTTACGCCACCCTTTTTATCCTACTAAAGTCTTTTCTCCACTTCTGCAATGCCTTAGAAATCTGGCATTCTGTACTATGCAGGTGAAACAACGTATTACACATCTCATTCATCACCATAAGGAAAAATCACCGATATTATATTATTATTCCTGCATTTGATATTACACTGTTCATATTGTCGTACTATTATCTTGTTATTTCTATTTCTACATCTCTTAAGATGTATAGAATGCTCATAAATAGTACTTCAGAATGCCTGATAATCATTATTTGAGCCACGCATGTCAGTGGTCTATCAAAGAGGGCTGACTTATAGAGCTCGATACACGTGTTTCGATCTTGCGATCTCGTCAGTCGGGCAGTTACCCTTTCTCGTCTTTTGCTAATCTCTGTGGGTGCTCCAGTCCGCACACTGAAAGTTAGCGACGACGAACGTTTTAAACTCTATGTCCAGTGAAATTCTCATCGAACACAGAGTGTTGCACACTCGATTGCTCTTGGCTAGTATATTCAATATATCATATCTTTCGTTTCGAGTGTTTTCTTAAGATCAGTGCTCAAATTTCAATATGCCTGATAATCATTAATTGAGCCACGCATGTCAGTGGTCTATTACTTCATTTCATGACCACTTCAGAATGTTTGAGGAACATAGATAGTCAGTTATTCAAAAAAAAAATGCACTTCCTCCAAAGGCACTCTTTGACTATAGTGGAAAAAGTACTTTCCTCAGAACTCTCCATTTTTGGTAAGTTTTTCGTCAGGTCAACCTTTTGAAGTTGTGATGACTGGAGTCGACAAAATGGGACTCTTTGTCAACTATTTCTTTTTTATGTACTAATACATAGTGAAAAGGACGTCTTGTTGACCTTACTTAGCCCTTCAATCCAACTATAATCATTCCTCGTACTTCTTCGTCATTCTCAAAAGAATCAAAAAAATCTTGGAGAGATAAGTATATTTTCATCAGGATCCGATCAACGATCACTGATCATCTCTCTCAAATAATGCAATGAGTCAGTTTAGAATTTGTTAAAACTGATCAGCAAAATCAAGCTCATCAGCATGTTGATTTCCGCCGTTGTGCCAACACCAGCGGCTAGTTTTGGCTTCTGTACAGCGACATTCATTAAATGAACCGAAACGAGCGCTATTAGGCTTACACATAGTGGTCGATTTATGGTACGAGTGGTACAGAATGACGTTCGTCAAATAAGGTGACTTCCAAAAGTTACGATCGCCACCAATGTTTATTTGTGTTTTAAGAAATAGAAAAGCAAATAAATGTCTCATGGAAACAGGCTCCTAAACCATCATGCATTCACTGGAATGTTGGTGTTTTAGGTTTGTTAAAAAAGAAACGAACGCCCAAACATTTGAACATCAAGCTATTGTGATGTAATTCGGGCATTTGACAAGCTCTAACGAATTCTGAGCTCCATCATTAGTGTTTTTTGCGCGTTGCAGGTTCAAAATTTTTATAATGCTTATCCGAAAGCTGAGGCACTTCCGTTTTTGCCTACACCTTTTCCTTTATAAGGTCAACACATCTTTTCGATTTCATATATTGGGAGGAGCCTTGTATAAATTAGTAGCATTATTAATTATTAAT